CTATAAATTCACCTGAATTATCAAATAATGAACCATTGCTCTTGGGGGAAATTCAGGGATAGGTTCCTATGAGTCCCTGGTCACATATATTGTTGATTCATTAACATTGAACTCACAGCTAAGAGCACTATATATAACTCGTGCCTGAACGAAGCTTATCTAACACACATATTTTCTCTGTAAGGCACATCACAGTCTTCTTGCACTTAAGAACACTAGACAGCACTTCAACACTCTGCTTGGCGGCTATTTAAACAGCAAAATCAACAAAAAACACAAAAATCCAAAGAAAACTAAGTAGACCACGAATATGCCATTGGATTAAAGCCTGAGGGCTGAAACGAAAGGCAGAGCATCCCCTTGTTTGCCTTCACCTGGAAATGTGTGTGTCAGTGGACTCAGATTGTTCACCACTCTGCACATCCCTGAACGATTATTCACAAATACAGACTTTGTGAATAATCAGAACTGTACCCGTGGGATTCACAACGCTGTCAAGAAACAGAACATTTCCATCACCTGAGAGTTCCTTCATACCCACAGTTCTGTTCCTTTTTCTTTTGTTTAAAGGTTGAACTATAATCTATTATTCTATCCTTTCTCAAAACAGGTGTCGACCATGCACAGATGACCTACGATGGGCAGCACTGGCATGCTACAGAAGCCTGCTTTTCTTGTGCCCAGTGTAAAGCCTCTTTGCTGGGGTGTCCCTTCCTTCCCAAACAAGGTCAGATTTATTGCTCAAAAACATGCAGCCTTGGCGAAGACGTCCATGCCTCTGATTCTTCCGACTCCGCATTTCAGTCTGCTCGATCAAGAGACTCCAGAAGAAGTGTCCGGATGGGCAAGAGCAGTCGGTCAGCGGATCAGTGTAGACAGTCTCTCCTTTTGTCCCCTGCTCTAAACTACAAGTTTCCTGGCCTTTCAGGCAATGCTGACGACACCCTTTCTCGGAAATTGGATGATCTGAGTCTCTCCAGGCAGGGAGTGAGTTTTGTCAATGAAGACTTCTGGAAAGGCAGAGTAGAGCATGAAACCCCAGAAGACCCCGAAGAATGGGCTGAGCATGAAGATTATATGACGCAGCTCCTCCTCAAGTTTGGTGATAAAAGCCTCTTTCAGCAGCAACCCAATGAGATAGATATTCGAGCCAGTGAGCATTGGATATCTGAGAACATGGTTAAAAATAAGACCGAGTTAAAGCAAAATAACCAGAGCCTTGCAAGTAAAAAATACCAATCTGATATGTATTGGGCACAGTCACAAGATGGACTGGGAGATTCTGCTTATGGCAGCCACCCAGGGCCTGCAAGCAGTAGAAGGCTCCAGGAGTTGGATCTGGACCATGGGGCTTCAGGATACAATCATGATCAAACACAGTGGTATGAAGATTCCCTGGAGTGTTTGTCCGATCTGAAACCAGAGCAGAGTGTTCGGGATTCTATGGATTCTTTGGCTTTGTCTAACATCACAGGTATGTAATCTAGAGATTAGGTGGTATTTGAAAAAAAAGAGCCACTAAAAAGTCTATTCTGAAAATTATAGTTCAGCACTAAAACTGTAGACAAGGGAAGGAAGGAGGAATTTCTGTTAAACGTCAAACACGATAACAAAACAAATACATATGCATGTGTGTGCACATTTATATGTAAGATTATATATATATAAAATCTTAAATCTTTTTGGAAAGGAATTACTCTTATTTTAAAGAGGAGGAAATCAATTTATTTGGATAGTGGAGTCTGCATCTGTTTCTGAAAGATAGTGTACTCTTTGGATTGTGCTGTATAAATTTCATGTTCTTAAGATCAGTCTGTGTACTTTATAAGCGTATAACATTTTTTGTATTTCCCTGAATTGCCCTATAGCAACAGATAACTCAAAAATAGCTGAATATTTTTTACCCAGATTATAACATTATTTCACTTTAATGTTTTCAAAGCACATTTATATCAGTTATCAACATTTTCTCATTAAAATGAACTCGAGTTGTATAGAGTATGTATCATTGCATTTTTGAAATGAGGAAACTTGAATTATGAGAGGCTAAATGCCTAACTTTACAGAGGTTTTTCTTTTTGTTTTGTTTTTTAATTTATTTAAATTAGTTTCAAATATACAGTACATTGGTTAGACATTTTTATATAGTTCATAAAACGATCCCCTCAATTTCTCCCTCCCTCCCCTGGCCCTCCACCTAGCCATCATATCAATGCTAATTGCCTTCCCTCTGTCGTGCTCCCCATTCCCGTGACCAACTATCAACTACTAATTTGTACTTCTCTAACCCTTCGCCCCACTCTCCCAGTTCCCCAATCCTCCTCCCCTCCTCTCTTTACAGAGGTTTTTAAAGGCAAGATTAAGCCTAGAACCCAGCCCTCCTGGATCTCGCATTTGCAACAAATAAGTTTTTGGATACAGAAACATTGCTATTGCGTAACTAGTTTTGTCGTCAAAATAATGACATCCAGTCCTTTCATAATGATTATGTTACTACAGTATAGACAGGAAAGGCTTTAGTGGTTGCCCACTGCCAGGAATGACCCTGTGCCAGGTGCTGCAGTGGCAAGGAGGGACAATGACCCTCCTGTTTTCTGTTGGACTTGTTAGAGATAAGGCCTCCAGTAAAGGGGAGTTGAGGAATGGTGGGTGAGACTAAATCATTGAGCACTTCCTGTTTTCTCTAGGTCCTTTATTAGACGTTTTAACATTCAGTTTGAAAAATAGACATCATTTGGTACATATAGTGTTAGGGCTGGGCGGGCGTTCCTTGACAATATGGGCTGAAAAACAGGCTCCCTTTAGAAAGTATATAGTCCCCACTTGACAACAGTCCACACCAGTCCCTATTGTCACTTCCAGTCTGCTGGGCTACATATTCATTTATCTTAACTTGCCTGGGTCCTATAAAAAAAAAGGAGAACAATAACAGTTTTGAGAAAAGTTTCAAAATAAGATTAATCTGGAAATGGATGTTATTTTCTGGGTTGAAGGGGAAGAAGATGGGATGGTGGTCTAGGCCAGAAGTTGGCAAGCTTCTGCCATAAAGGACTAGATAGTACTTTTGGGGCTACGCAGTCTCTGTTGTGACCACTCAACTCTTGTCACTGTAGAGAGCAACCACAGATAACATGTAAGCGAATAGATACGGCCATGTTCCGATGAAACTTTACACATACGCCGTGGGCTGGGTATGGCCCTTGGGCTGAGGTTTGCTGACCACTATTCTAGGTATAAAGCGAGGAAGACTAGCCTAGGTGTTAGAGGAGGACCATAATGGTGCCCTGTGGGTACAAAGAAAGGGACTGATTTGCAAGATATTCAGACGAAGCAGCCTGGCTCTAATGGATTGAAAGGCAGAAGCTTCTAACATGTCATGTTAATAAACTAATGATGGGACTCTTATGAAGAGCTTTTAAATTGCTGATGCTCATGCCATGTGTTGTAACTAATGTTTGGCTCCGTAACAGCTGGACTCCTAAGAGAGGCTGTGTCCCTTGTATCAATGACAAAATTCATACCTATGTATGAATTCATACCTCGTATCAATGACAAAATTCATATGCATGTTGGTTTTACCTAATGGGCATTAATCAGATATCAAAATTTGGGAAAATATTCTTTGAAATGCTTTCTTTCAGTAGCTTATTCATAATAATTGTCAGAATATTATGACTATTGAGAATCACATCTTGTGTTGGCTTTTCTTCTAGGGGCTTCGGTAGATGGAGAAAGTAAGCCGAGGCCATCGTTGTATTCTCTGCAAAACTTTGAGGAAATGGAGGCAGAAGATTGTGAGAAAATGAGCAATATGGGGACTTTGAACTCTTCCATGCTGCACAGGAGTGCAGAGTCCTTAAAGAGTCTGAGTTCAGAGATGTGTCCAGAAAAAATCATGCCTGAGGAGAAGCCAGTACATCTGCCAGTGCTCAGAAGGTCCAAGTCTCAATCCAGACCACAGCAGGTCAAGTTTTCAGATGATGTCATTGACAATGGAAACTACGACATCGAGATCCGGCAGCCTCCGATGAGCGAGAGGACTCGGAGACGGGTCTACCACTTTGAAGAGAGAGGATCCAGGTCTCATCACCATCGCCGCAGGAGAAGTAGGAAGTCCCGTTCTGACAACGCCCTGAATCTAGTCACAGAAAGAAAATACTCTCCCAAGGACAGGCTGCGTCTTTACACCCCCGATAACTATGAGAAATTTATACAGAATAAAAGTGCCCGGGAGATCCAAGCGTACATCCAGAATGCTGACCTCTATGGACGGTATGCCCATGCCACTTCCGATTATGCGCTGCAGAACCCCGAAGTGCATCGGTTCCTGGGACTCTACGGTGAGGATGATGACTCCTGGTGTTCCTCCTCCACGTCCTCCTCCGACTCAGAAGAAGAAGGGTATTTTCTCGGACAACCAATTCCTCAACCCCGGCCACAGAGATATGCCTACTATACAGATGACCTTTCTAGTCCAACTTCTGCGCTCCCTACTCCTCAGTTTGGTCCGAGGACGACTAAATCCAAGAAGAAAAAGGGACACAAGGGCAAAAACTGTATTATTTCTTAACCTAGTAGCTGTGGAGATCTTGTTTAAACTTAGCCATTAACCACCTTGAATCATATCTTTTTTCTTCCATAGGAAAGTTGCTAAAATAGTTTAAAGTGCTTTGCCCGTGTAAATGAGCCCCCGACTGCTGTTTACAGTGTCAGATTAACATTTGGAAGGTGTGATTTCTCCAGTTTACCCTCCCTGGATGGTGCCAGGTTGGTTGCTGTGACATCTTGTGCCTGTCAGGTGCATTACAGTTTTACATAGCTGCTTTGGTCTCCAATCCTTAAGAGAATGTCCTCAAACTATTGAGAGGTGATCGCAGGGGAGGTGGGGGAGGGTATTGATTTCAGAAGATGGAGAACTTCAGCTACCTTTGTAAAGCAATAGTGTTTGTTGTTCCTCTACGCCAGGTTGGCCCAGGTCCTGATTGGTCTGTCTTGTTGTGCGGCATGCACGTGGTCACACTGACCTAGCCAACACTGTGCGTCCCATCCTGCGAGGCCACTTTGTCCCCTTTCAGTCCTCTTTAGCCAGGTAAACGTTGTATTAGCTCCAGCTACAGATCGAAAAAAACATTGCTATTTATAATGTAGTATTTCATAGACTTAAGTGTATTCCTAATTTAACGGTGCAAATATTAATGTACATATTGTACAGTTCAGATTTTAAAGCTGATATTTTTATACCCCTGAATTGCAAGATGTTTGTTACACTGCAGTGCTAGATTTGTTAGGGAACCAGAAACAGCATTTATGGATGAAATGATTGCTTGTATTTTAGTCAGGGTTTATAAGTTTAGATGGTCAAATTTATACTGACTAGTGATGAAAAGTTCAATTTTTTGATTTTTCAATTAAAAAGGCTCTGTATGCATGGTGGGGCTATGTAAATACTCTTTAAAACTATGGCCCTATTAATCTTAAACGAGTGTTATTTATGGGTCAAGCAATGTAAACTGTATAAATGTAAAAACAAAAAACCCCATATATACTCCTGGAATATATGGTAAAAACAAGTAGAAGCTGTTTGGGTGGATGTTTTTTTCCCTTTGGGGATGGTGTGTGGGGGGATGGGGAGTGCCTTTCTCATTTTTAGCAAGGTGGTGATTATCTCATGGGAAGAGACCAAAACTACAAGGATCTGCTTTTTTTGTGGCAGAGGACTTTGTAGATTATCTGAAGAGAGGTTATTTCTCTCTATCCCTCCCTTCCAGCTAATTTGTTGGCCTCTAAGCAGCAATTTTGAAAAGTGGGCCTTCTGATTATCTTTTTCTTTTAAAATCTTTAAATTAGAGGATGCTGTACCACTGACTACTTCAAGTTAATATGAGGTTCTATTTCAAGGGAATATTATCTTGAATTTGAACTCGAGCTGATATTTTGGTGTGTGCCATTCTTGCTCATACATTTTGGTCCTAAATAAGGTCCTAGTGGTATTTTGGACCTCTAGGACGGGATTTAATAATAAATAATAAACTACATACCTTTCTGAACAGAAATCTTTGCAAACATATTCAGATGACTTCCACTTTGTCTCTCTGTTCAGGCACGATTTATTTTGCCATTCTTCTGTCATTAACAGACTACCATTTGACTCCTGTGTATCCACTGCCCCTACTAGTAGGTGAGAAATTGGACTTGAGGCAGAGTTGTCTATCTACTGGAATGGGCAAAAGCTGTTAAGCCTTGGGCAGGGGGGACATGAATCCCGTAGGTAAACCAGTAGTCGATAGCATCCCTTACACCCATCCCTGGATAAGGGCAAGACTTTGAGCTAGACACAAAGAGCACTTTACTCAATAACTATCATTTCTCTGGCCTCATTCATTTAAAAACTGTGTCAGCAATGAAAAGGAAATGCATGCACGTCGTAAAAAAAAAAATTCAAACAAGACAGCAAAGTGTCTCCTTTCCACTCTTCATCCTCAGTCCCTCAGTTCCCCTCCCCAAAAGTAACCACTATTATCCAATTTCTAGTGTATCTTTAAGATGTTAAAGCAAATTTATACAAACATACTTCTTTAAAAATGGTAGCAAACTATACACATTGAGACTTGCTTATTTTACTTCATATGGCGATATTCACATTAGTGCATATAGGTCTGCCTCATTCTTCCAATGACTGCATAAATGTTCCACTTTTCGATATACCATAATTTATTTAACCAGTCTCTCAGCGATGGACTAAAATTTCCTCATAGATACCTTATTCTGTACCCGCACATATGCACATCAATTATGAGCAGCATAATTACTAGAACAAAGGTTATACATTTAAAATTTTGATGGATATCAACAATTTTCTTCCAAAAGAAATTCTCCTGATTTACATTTACACTAACAATGTATGAGAGTGCTATTTCCATCACAATCTCCCATAACATAGTAACAAATTTGTTGATTTTGAAAAAATTTCCAGAACCTAATGTTGTAAAGAGTGGGCATCCTTTTAGAAAAGACTGTTATGATGTGTTGCTTATAAAGGATGGATAACAAATAATAAACAGGTAATAAATACTTAGCTTGGGGAGACGCAGGTATAAACTGAAGTCACTGTCCTCAGTTTTCAAGTCATTCTCAAAAGATTAGTTGCTTTTATTTTTCACTCTATTCATTTTTTTTCATTTCCTTATATAGAGGTTATATAGGTTGCCAGTGGCTCAAAGAAAATGCAGAAATATTTATTCACAATGATAATGTAAACTTTAAAGCTTTTAAATCTTGGTTAGTAGCAATAACAAGGCTGTACAAGGGAAGAAAGGGAAGCGACTGCCTTATGGTTCTATAAGGAATTGGCAAGAAAATTAATCATATAGTTGCTAAAAGGTGTTCATAGATTTAGTTAACAAGACTGCAGAGTATCTGGTCAGTCACTAAATGCTAGAATTTGATCCCAAGGTATCAAATGTTAAAGCACTGCCTCTAATCACTGTGGGTGAAGCAGAACCCTAATGGTTGCATTTTCCTCACTTGAGACCAAATTGGAGAACGTTTTGCTTGAGACCCACAGAAGAGCACTGAAAAATGTCAACACGGAATGCCTTTTGTATATGTTATGTACCTTTGAGTTGGCCCCTACTCCTGGCAACCCTATGAGTGAGCAATGGCCACAATGTCCTGTCTTCCACAGCCCTGCCCAGCTCCTATAGACATGCCTATGGCTTCTTTCATGGGGTCAGTCCATCTCATATTTGGTCTTCCTCTTTTCCTGCTGCCTTCCATTTTTCCCAGCATAATTGTCTTTTCCAAAGAACCCTGCCTTCTCGTGATGTGCCTGAAGCAGGATAGCTTCAGTTTTGTCATTTTTGCCTCCAATATTTCAGGCTTAATTTGTTGAAGGACCCACTTGGTCATCTTTCTGGTGGTCCAGGGTATCCATAGAGCTCTACTACAACATCATCTTTCAAATCATGTTTTTTCCTGTCGGCCTCCTTCATTGTCCCAACTTTGGGATCTGTACATAGTACCTGGGGATACGAGGGTGGAGATGATCTTAGGCTTGGTCTCTAATGACACATCTTTGTTCTTAGTGATCTTTCCTGATTCTTCCGTTACCCTTCAGACTCAGCCTTCTCTTGATTTCTTGGCTGCAGTGTCCATGCGAATTAATGACCAAACAAGGTAAGCAAAATCTTTAACAACTGCATTATTTTCATTGTCTATGTTAATGTTGTATATTTCTTCTATAGTCATGTTCAAATGCAGTCCTGCTTTGGCACTTTCTTCTTTCATCAAAAGTCGTCAAATTATTGCTACTTCCTACCAATAAGATGGTGTCATCTGCATGTCTTAAGTTACTGATATTTCTTCCACCAGTTTTCACTTCTTATTCCTCTGATTCTAGCCCTGTTTTTCATGTATGTTCTGCATGCGGATTAAATAATTAGGGAGGTAAAATGCACTCTTGTCTGACACCTTTGCCTATAGGAAACTGTTCTGTCTCTCCATATTCTGTCCCGACAGTGACTTCCCGTGCACAATACAAGATACACATCGGGACAATCACGTGGCGAGGCGTGCCCAGTTTTTTCAGAGCAAGCATAGCTTTTCATGACCCTCACAGTCAAAGGCTAAGTAGTCTATAAAATGTGGACTAACCTAAAATTCTTTGGAGCACTCCTTTTAGCTCTCATTAAAAGAAAATGATTCATTTTGTATATGCATTTACTATCTTTGACACTCTGCTTTCTAGTTCCTGAGTTTAAAAAGTGCCAGAAGTAAAAGGAGATTCATTTGCTGTCTAGCCCTCTCACTTTATATACAAATCATGGACCTTCTTTAAAGGGTGGCAACATTGGAATGGACACCTAAGACTGCTAGATTTCCCTTGTGGCACGTGTCCTTGGCCCAGCTTGGTCCTTGGGTGATAGGACCTGGATGTACTGGTATGGATGTATTTTAGGAGTGCCCAGAGGATCTCAGCATAGGCAATAAATTATTAACACAGTGTGGGCGTACTTTGGTGTACTGAGCTTCTTTTCTAACAGACACTTGACTACTGCCATGGAAAGGAGAACCTTTGAAGGTGTTGCTAGACCTTCAGAATTTTCAAGAGAAACTGGGAATATGAACTTCGGTGAAATCTGCCCAGCTTTTAGGTGCTAGCAACGAATCCAAACATTTCTGAAACACCTTGACCAAAATAAGCGCGCTATCAGCAAGTCTCCAACAATTCAGGAGCCTGAGGCTGATTCCTCTTAAGAGCTGTCCAGGGGGCGGCACCACTAATTACTGTCTATAGACATACAAGTGACCTTTTTTGGATACACAAAGAAGAAAAATTATTAAGATTAAAAAAAATTACACTAAGAGCCTCATTATCAATTCAATGCTAGTAACACAATTATGATAAAAATCCATTTTAATTTGTCAAGTGAGAAAATTGCTAATTGCCTAGTTAGATTCTCTAGCCCTTGTGGGGAACTATTTAGAAACAAGGCATACTCCCGTACAGTCCACATGGGTTTTCTGCAGCCTCTCAAACATATTAGGAAGGCTTCAAGGTAAACTGGGCTAAGGAGAAATAAGCAGGAACAAACAATTTTGCATCTCTGAGCTTACATTTTTCCAAGGTCAGAGAATCGTGAACTTTGCTGGGGGAGTTAAGTTTAAGGGTGGCTTTCACAAAATGCTTTGGGAAGGAAGTGTGGAGGAAAAGTAAGACACTGAGTATACACAGACTTAGTCACCAGATTAGAGTCAATTTATTATTTTTTAATAGACCCAGCTTGCTGGTCAAGAATCCCCGTTTTAGGGATCAATTTTAGCCTGAACTTCTTGCAAAGGAAATTTCATACCTCTACTATATGTACACGTGTGCTGTTATGCCAACTTTAGAAGTAACTTGCAGCCCATTTTCTGAAAGCATTTGACGCCAGACAACGTAAACAGTTCCATTAAGAATATGAAACCAGTTCTCTTAAACGCTAATACTTGTTTTAGCATTTTTAGATAAATGAACCAAGCAGCTCCCATTGGAAAAGATGATTACTAGGCTAATATAACTCCACTAGAACATACTGGACTCAGGAGTCAGGAGACGTATGTTAGGAGATGCACCTCTCTCATTAACTCGAGCAGGTTAAGTGCTCTGACCCAGTTTCTGCTTCTGTACAATGAGAGTGCCAGACCATCGCAAAGGTTTCCTTCTAGCTTCAGTATTCTGTGGGGACTGAACTGAATTTTTCAGGTCAGAAAAACCCTCACACTCAGCACAGTGTTGTCTCCCTTTTCTGACTCTTGCACTTACCAACATACCTGGCCAGAAATCCTGAAAAGATGATCCCTCCAAACACCATGGCTCTTGGGAGTTGAGAACTTTGAAGAGAGTTGGCGCTTTTTTATATTAATGCCTTGGGATTCTGAGTGGGCAAGAGATTAAACTAAGTCATGTAAAAGAAATGTGGGTATTATCTCTCCATCAATGCACATGCTTTGAGTTGGCTTTAGCTTCATTAAGTAGACAGTCTGGAGGTTGTAGAGTATGTGAAAGGTAAGATATTTTCCTCCCACATGTTTTGTCTACCCAGTTACCAGGATGAAAAGTTAAGATTTTTTCCTACATCTCAGAGAGCTGCTATGGTGGCAACCTTAGTCTGGAATCTCCAAACATATTGTAAGCAAGGCTGAAAAGGTTAACTATGTTTAATTAATCTTGGTTCCCAGAACAGGAGAGTTGAATCACCAGGTTTATTCCAGTTAGATAGCTCTTCCCCAGCTCCACCAGGGGCCCAGATGCAGCACCCCAAGAGCTGAGTCCTGAGCTACACTGTGGCCATGGGGGCTGGAACCCTACATGCTTCTTGCTCCTTAACAACTATCCCTTATGAACTTCAAAGGTATTTTCTAAAATAGCTCCAAAACAGAAGTCACAGGAACCAATTCAGAAGGTAGTAGCAATTGAGGATAAAGTGACCACCAGGCTTTTCCACTTCTTCCAAGAAAACTGAGTTTAGAGTTGAAAGATGTGAGTAAATCTCTGGCTCTGCCGCTTCTGGCTATGTAACTTTAGAAAAGTTACAGCGTCTCTTGCCCTTGAACGCAAAACGAGAATAAAATCTTCATTGGCTTATTCCACGTAAAAATGTGTATCAAAGACACTAGAATGTGGTTCTAACCTTGTTTAGACAGTGAAATAACTGAAAAACGTAGTGCTTCTCAGAATCCTATATTCAGTGTATTAAACCTGAAATACATTTAAAGCTACATCCAATATGGTTCCCTAGAGTCTACAGAAGTAGCAGAATATGGTTTTTAAAAATGGTAAATTCCTGCCAGAGCAGGGCTAGCCCCACACCCCTGTCCTCAGCTTACCAGCTTAAGGATGTCTCCCCTTCACTCAACGTTCCCACCTCAGGACAGAGGCAGGGCATGAGGGCCGTGGCCACCTGGCCACTAAGCTGCCCTAGAGGATGAGATGCTGAGAGAGCTCTGTCTCTCCTCTTGGACCCTGGTGTGATCAGGTAGTTTCTACATTGTAAAGGTGATTCTCACATGAGACTCACCTCTCAACTGAGTAAGCCCTGCAGTGTTCAGTAGACCACCACCCACTGTGATGTCATTGGGTGGCACTGGTGGGAGCACAAGCCTGTGGCACAGCTAAAATTCAGTCCTGTCTAGGAAAGGAAAGGGAAACAAAAGCTTCGGCATAAAAGATACCTCAACCTGATAAGCTGCAAGTCTGATGGACTGCATCTTCTCTTATCTCTCTCTTCTCTCTCTCTCCTCTCTCTCTCTCTCTCTCTCTCTCTCTCTCTCTCTCTCTCTCTCTCCCTCTCTCCCCACACACACACACACACACACACACTCGAAATTTAAGACCTTATCCAATTTTACTGATAATGGCCTATCCATTTATCTGTGGATGCAGAGCTCAAAAAGCAATGTGCTATAGAATCAGGCTGTCTACTGCTATACAAATGTGCATGAGGCTTTAATGGTATTTCTCATCATGTGACATTTTAAATACAACTTGAAACAAAACCAGTGGACTGGCAAAGCCTTTTAAATAATCAGTCGCCACTACTCCAAGATCAACTATTACAATGGAAATGTGAGTCTGGTGCAGCCTGCCAAGGGCCAACTTTAGTGAAGCTAATCCTCAATTGTCATTTCTATTAATTTGAGAAAAAGATGGGCTGCTAACAAGAAACCAATAATGTGGCTTAAACAATAAAGACATTGATTTCTCTTTCACATAACAGTTTAATATTCCATATGGTCACGCAGAGATCCAGGCTCCTTTCATCTTGTGGCTCTGCAATAAATCAAGCCTGAGCTGCTATTGCTACTACTTCTGGGAAGGGATAAAAGAGAGCATGAAGGAGGAATATCCATTGTCCCAAGAGTCCCAGACCAGAAGGAGTAGTACTTCCACTTGAATTCCATAGGAGAGAACTTAGTCTCACTTGGTCACACCTAACTGCAAGGGGAACACAGCAAATATAGTGCTAATGAGGCAGTAATGTGACTCAATTTTGACTCCATTACCATGCAAAAAGGAGAGAATATATTCTGCTAACTACCTTAGTTATTAGTCTCCTTTTTCCTGTATCACTGAATTGGGTAATATCAGTGCTCTCAAGAGAACTGGCAGAAAGGAAATGATAAATGTACCATGCATAACCCACAAACCTGGGTGTAGCGAGCAGATTATGGCCATTACTCACAGGAGTGCCAGGTGCCAGCCTCGGCAGTATTACAGCTGTAAAGCCACCTGGGTGGCCGGCTGTCTGCAACATTGAATACTGTCTACCATAAATACTTCAGGGATGACCAGACCACTGCCTCCAAAATTGCTGCCAAAGAACTGTCAGTCTTCCTTGGGGTTTAGGATCTCTTGCAGGAAACTCAGAAATAAAACTGAAACCACTATATAATATTTTGGCAGTATAGCAGAGAGCTCTCTTGTGGGGATCCAGCCTCTCCTTCCTTCAAGAGGTTCTGGGTCTATGAACAGACTGAGGGCTGGAAAGTGGTTGAGGGGCTGTGAGAAATCGACCATTTTTGGAAAGAATAAATACAAAGGTAATATTTTCAAGCATCATTGTTAAGTAGGAGATAAAGGACAAAGCTACGAGCATTCAAAATCCTTCATATTCTGCTTTCAACCTACCTTTTTCTACATCTGTCCCCTATCATCTTCCCCAACCAGCTTCAGTCACACAGGCCGATACCTTTCCCTCTTCCTGGACTTCTATTACTTCCCTTTCTCTACCTGAATAAGTCCTATTCAGGGTCAAATTTCACTTCATTTGTAAAGCCTCAACAAATACAAGTACCTACAACATTCCAAACTATGCTAGGAACTGAGGTCATGAAGACAATGTGGTTCCTGAGCTCTCCAGAGGTTACTATAAAGATGTAGGATTTTAATCTTACAATTCTCTGAAACTCGAACTCATAATTACACAATTACTGAACACTACTTTGTGCTCAATTTTATGTCGTTTAACTGTTTTCTCAGATATCAAGACTCCCCAAGTCACTCAAGTTAATAATTTCTCAATTCTCATACTTCATTCTGCTGCTGATTAAGTGAATTGAACACTAAGGAGTAATCTTGAAGTAGTAAGGAATAAAAATCTATATTTTGGCAAAACACTTTGAGCCTGTTAAAGAGAAAAAAAGACAATCTAATTATTTAAACCCAGTTGCTTTATTTTGCACTTTTAAAATTCACAAAATGCTTCAGAATATCTGCTTTCCCCCTGTTGATCATCAAGGCTTTATAAGACAATGAAATTTTTATCACATCAATTGAGCATATTCAAAAACAATGGATAATTTACAAATTTTTTAAATCAAGAACATTTTGCAAAATACACACTCTCATACATATCTGAATTAATCTAGCATAAAACTAGACCTTAAAAAAAAAAAAAAGACAGATTTAACACTGACAAGCCAACCAGAATAATGCTGATGGAAGGCTATAAAGAGCTTTATATGTTGAATGTAATTTGGGGGAAGGGGTGAAGAAGTAGTTATCTGTTTAACCTACACCTAAATGCATCTATGAGTAAAACTTCTATAGTTGAATGAATTTCAACAAAGTGAACAACTCCTTTTCCTTTATGGTAGTTTCTCAAATTTTATTTTTAAACTTGTGACATCTTGACTAAAGAAAATGAATCCTGGAATTAGAACATTTAAGAAGAAAAACATAGGAGCAGAGGAGAAACAAGATCAGTACTTCCTTAGTCTTTCTAAAGTGGCTGTAACAAAGTCATTGTTCATATTAGAGAAGAATACCAGAGATGCTACGTGGGGTTTAGTTTTGGTTTAGGTACAATATGTAAATGGCAAAAATCAAAATTCATATAGGAAACTTAAGAAAATAATTGTTGCCTTCAATTGGTTTTTACATTTGTAGAATGGCATAATACATATTTTGAAGCATCCATTATAGGATCTGCTAAAATTATTTATACTGCTATTTCCATTTTTAATAAAATTTTTATCTACTCTGGGGTAGCTGTTTAGATAGTATCAATAGAGGCCACTGAAAATAATGCCAGAATTCAAGTGAGAAAAGAGTGGAAATGGAAAGAGGATGGGAGGATAATGACATTGGGTAGTAATAACAAACATGATTTTTAAGGTTTCCTAACTAACGCTATAAAGTTACATATTTTGGCTAAATGCCACACTCGGCAGCTGGAAGTAATCAGGAAATGAGTGGAATATCCTAATCGTCCCAGTTAGATTCTTAACGAACTCGTAATTGGACCACTAGCTCATGAAGGACTGTTTACATAGACTACTTGGTTAAGGGTAGTTGTTCTAGGCTTACTGTCTACTCTGTTTTGTTTTCTTCCAAAAACATTTGGAGGGTTAAGAACCCCTGAAAAGGGCAGCTGAACAAAGAACCTGTTAGAATACAAACAGTTTAACAAAGGCATAATCTATAAGTGATTTAATCATGGATATGTTATCAATCACCTTTCTCGAGATGAGCCATATGGGCCTATTGAAAAAATGAAATTCTACTACTCCCTCATATTCTAAGTGTTTCTCTATCACTTAGAAATTTTAAAAGAAATCTCAACTTTAAAACAGCCCTCATCTTTCACCTCAAATTGCCCCTCACTTTAGTCTTATATGTGATATTATTTAAGACTCACGCATGAGCCAGCGTAGTCAGGAATTTCAGGATTATTTTAATAGGAGACATTAAGTTCACTTAGAAAACAAATGTCTTTTAAATATTTAAGTGCTCTATATTACCACAATGAGAATTATACTCAAAGCAAATATCCTCTAAGATAGCGAAATATTCAGTTTATTTGGATCTTATACTTAAACATATTAAAAGTTACAAAGCCTAAGATAAGCAAACAAGTCAATAAAATCACGACTTAGTATTCTAACATTTTCACATAGTATTACTATGAAATGCAAAAAAACTATAAATGTTTAAGTGGAATGATCTCTAAAAATTACATTAGTATGATGAAACAAATGATCCCATACTATGGATACTACAGAACATGAGTAAATACAGAAAGCTGTTCTCTAGGACTTGAAAAATTAATTTACCCATCATT